TATATATATATATATATATATATATATATATATATAAAATAAATGAATGAAGACCAACAGAACTATTTCTAAGATTTTGAAAATCCAGTGGAAAGGGGGAGGGGATAATTTTAAAAGAAATTAACACTTCCCTGCAGGTTTGCAACCTCCTAGCACAAGAAAGCCAGAAAAATGGAACTGAGTGAAACTGACCGGCCTATTTTCATTGTCTGAACCCAGAGAGATGCAAGATGTACAAGAGCAGCAGTAATAGTAGGGACTTAGATTTTAAAAATTCCTCCAATTTTAGATACCTGCGATGTTAGTAACTTAGCCCCAGTCCTGTAAACACTGACTTACCTGCTTCACTTTACTAGCAGGAATGGTCCCTGGGACCCAAGGGAGTAAAGTGAATCAGGGGAGTAAGTGTTTGCTGGTTCAGGACCTATTTTAAGGAATCACATAATGGGCTAGATCTTCAGCCCATGTAAACAGATGGCACTTCATTGGCTTCAATGGAGCTATGCCGATTTGCACCATCTAGCCCAATGATTTTCAACCTGGCAGTGTCTCTTGAAGTCTAACAATGTTCTATGTTTATGATCCAGCTAATCAGCAAGGGGCCACCCAGCAGATGGAAGGAGGAAGAATAAAATCTTGGATCCCGCATCAGAAGGAGAAGCAGAATCTTACCGGCAGCAGCCAACTTTCATCCAAGAAACTGGAATTCTGCAGACAAAGCACAGCAGAGCAACTGTGTCAAGTAAGGAGACGAAGACCTCTGCACACACAGTTATGTTAGACACACAAAGCTGCTGCCTAGACCAATTTATTACCGTACCTGCAGATCCAGGGAGAAATTCATCTCTGACACCACCAGCATCAGTGAGAGGAACGGCTCTGTAAGAGGGGGGACCAAGAGCCAACATTACTGCCAGACTCCTCACCAGCTGCACACTGGCTTATCCCCATGTCCCAGGGACACTGCAGAGGTCCAGATCAGAAGAGATTTTCCATGTCAGTAGCAGACAATAGAGGACATGCCCCCCAATTTGGACAACAGGGACTTTTAGATCCTCAGGGTCATACTGTATTCAGAATAACAATACTTGCCCAACTGTACATACCAACAATATTTTGCACTTCTCCAGTGCCTTACATCCAAGGATCTCAAAGCACTTTACAAACCTCAATGGATTAAACCTCATGGCAGCCTGTGAAACAGGGATTATTATCCCCATTTTAGAGACGGGAAAACAAAAAGGCAAAGTGACTTGGTCACGGGGTCCAACCAGACTGAGTCCATTGCAGGATCATGGTTAAGTTCACACAGCAAGGCTGTGACCGAGCCAGGAAAAGACCCCAGCTCTCTCCAGGTCTGCACTGTAGGACCTGCGTGCTATGTCACACAGTCACAGAACTCTGACCAAAACCACACAGCAGACAAACTAACCTCATGGCACGAAATAGAATTCTAACTCAGCTACAGAAAAACAGCTGACCAAGAAGCACTCTGGACAGGGAAAGGGATGGCTCCATGAGCACACTGGCCTGTGGACACACAGGAATCGGCCAGCTGGTTAGCAGGGCTTTTAGACCTTCACTTACGGAATGTTGGTTTTTCACCCCCTATCCACTTTGCTACTGGCCAAGGCCAGGATTCTAAGGCCTTGTTAATGCCAGGGTTTTTTTGCAAGAACATCCCATCAGAGCCTTGTCTATAACAGCCCCCGCTGCAGCGCTACCACTGGTGAAACCGCACTAGTGGGACACTTGTGCAAAATACCCTCAAAACCTAGTCCAGACACCCATCTGGAGTACAAATGCAATACACGTGGGCCTAGGGTGACCAGACAGCAAATGTGAAAAATCGGGACGGGGTGGGGGGAGCAATAGGTGCCTATATAAGACAAAGCCCCAAATATCGGGACTGTCCCTATAAAACCAGGACATCTGGTCATTCTACATGGTCCTCAATCCAAAACCCATTGAAGTCAATGAGCGTCTTTCCACTGACTTCAACAGGCTTTGAATCATAGAAACCACTACTAGCAGGTAACTTTCTTCCACTTCTGTGTTTTAATCTTCAGTCCATCCTTCCTCTCCAATGCTAACCGTGCAATTATATAAATTAAAATTAATGGAGATATCCCATCTCCTAGAACTGGAAGGGACCTTGAAAGGTCATCGAGTCCAGCCCCCTGCCTTCACTAGCAGGACCAAGTACTGATTTTGCCCCAGATCCTAAGTGGCCCCCTCAAGGATTGAACTCACAACCCTGGGTTTAGCAGGCCAATGCTGAAACCATTGAGCTATCCCTCCGTGTGATTTAGACTTCAACTAGAAGTCCAAAGTGATTTAAAAGCAATCTAGGGACAGTTTTACCACCAGTTATTTATCATAATCAAAAGAAAAGGCTTTCTCCCTGTCCCGGTACTCTTGGGAGAATAGCTGCTGATGGAGACACACAGCATTCCAGCATTTCATAATAGCTGGAAAAGTGTTCCAGTTCTGACATCCTCACCTGGGACCAGTAGGGTTTAGGCTGCTAAGAGTTACCTACAAGACATCAGACTTTTGCAGTTTACTTAAAGAAACACTCCAGTTACAAATCATCCTATTTAACATTCCCATCTCAGATCCCTAACACCACCTTGTGATTGATTCAAACTGAATGATAAATGTCTAATGTACCTCCCCAGCACCGAGACTGCTTACTTAGATTTTACCACTTCCTTCCGCTTAGACAATAAAACAGACCTTAGCTTCGCTCGCCGCTCTAGCACTGGGTTGTGACACCTGGGCTGCAAATGCTGTGGGGGGAGGTTTAGATCCAAACAAGAATTGTTTCATTGGCTTTTTTTTTTTTTTTAAAGTAGTGTTATTTCTATTCATTTTAGGTTTGGTAAAACTTAAAATAAAAACATAGTTTAGTTTGCAGCTAAATAGACCAGGGTAGAAGAAAGGAGGTATTAGGATCCATATTTTACAGATGGGAAACTGAGGAACAGAGAGAGCATGTGACTTGCCCAAGGTCATAAAGGAATTCTGTGGCAGAGCCAGGAATTTAACCCAGCTCTTGGAGTCCCAGCCCATCCTTCTTTTCTGTCCCTGTTAGGGAACAGAGTTTTCTTATAACCATTCATCGCCAAAGGTTATTTCTTAGTGATGAAGGTCAAATTCATCCTCTGGTGTAAACTCTGCTGAAGTCTATGGAGTAACACGAGTGATTAATTTCATCCTGACTTCAAAATAATAATCTCATTTCATCCCTTGAAATGGTTCCATCACAGCGTCCTTACTCAGATACAATTCCTAAGGGTTGAATGAATAAGAAGCGCAGGATGGAAGCTATAGTAAATCCAGGAATTATAAATAAACTGGAGGTTTTCCAGAATACAAGATTGTATACCCTGGCTTTCAGTCATCTTCGCTTCATAAATGGGGGGAAATATTTTTAGACCTACATCTCAACCAATTTGTGTGTTGTTGGGGATTTTTAAGTGACATTACTGAATTTTGGAGGAAATCTCAACCTTACCCATGAAATCTTCATTTCCCAGCACTGAGACCAGAGGATCGTAACACTGAAATTAAAAAATTTAAAAACAAACACACACACAGATACACACATGATTTAGTTGCACACCATCAACTGAACAACATGGCCACAAAACCATCTAAAATTCTACACTTTAAATTGCATCCATGGCACACACACAAATGAGTGACCCCAAATTTGTTCTAGAAGGTGGTTTTAGCTTGGCACCCAAAAGCCTGGATTTTTATTTGAATCCTCTGGAGCCTGTTCAATTTTTGGCCAGGCTGGAATTATAAAATACAGAGGTTCAAGGAAAAAAAAAAAAAAGACTTTCTCCTTAGGTCCAAGATTTGGATCAGTTCTTAGTTTACCCAAACCCAGTTCCCTGCTGCCCCTCATCATAAAGATATTTCATGCTGAAAGCTCTTCCTACCTCCAGCAGTTTTGGATTCCGAGCCAGCTGTTGAATGGCAGTAGCTAGTAACTTCTGATTTAAAGCTAGGCGCAGGAAGTACCGCCCTCGTCCCTGCGCTGTCAGCACCTTCTCACAGGAACTGGCTTTCTCTACCATGATTGACAAGGGGGTCACCCTATAAAGAAGAAATATGAAGAGGTAGCAGGAAACATTTACAGCATCGGCAGGCGACGACCCATTCCCAGGCTCTGGTCGTCTGCCAAAGGGGTCTTGGTCGCTCACTTGTAATGGGGTTCTCTTCCAGGAGCAAGTCATTGTGCCAGTTTCTGTAATGGCACCTGTCACAGTTCAGGGCAACTGCACCTGTATTCCCCCTGTAGGGTCCAGCAAGGGGACCCACTCTCAGGTTTCCAGCTCCCCTGGTCATCACCTCTCCTGGGTGGAGACATGTGTCTCACTCCCTTCTGACCAGTGTATTTCCAAGTTGCACTGCTTCCTGATCATACTGTGAATTGACCTGCAAAGTCAGTCTGCCTGAACAGGCCTTTGCTTCCTTTCCCTCCAGAGCCGGCATACAGTGTAATTGCTGCGGTTATAAATTACCACGCATTTCTCCTGATGCAAGCCTCCTGTGCTCTTAAGGTACAAGCGCTACAGAGAACACATCTTGTAAAACAATAAAAGAACCTCCACGCATGCTAATAAGCTTACCAGAGATCACCCCAACTCTAACGGGGGCTCTGGCAGAAACAGTCCTTTAAAACCCCACCCAAGGGGTTTCAAGTTCATCACAGTTTCAGCTCGGAACAAGCAACCAGTCTTATGGGGCCTCAGTAGGCCCAGACCTTTCATCCCCTCCCCAAGGATTGGGGCTCTCCAGGGACCAGGGGTCCTGTCTATTGGCTGGATCAGGAAGAAGGCCCTGAGCCAGTTTAAAACCAGGCTATTTATCCAAAAATCCTTTCTTTATGCGTTGAGCTCCGGATAATCCAGTTTTAACTAGTGTACGTGCACCTGTTCAAGGGGGGTGGCTGCAAACGGAGGACTTGCATTAACATCATCCCCCCCCCTCCACAATAACACATACTCCGCCCCATTTTTTCATGCAACGGACCCAAAAGATTGTTCAGGATATTGGCATTCAAAGGCCACTCACCCACTGCAGGTATCCTGCTGAGGAAGCTGCTCTAACCAGTGCCAATAATCTCGTCTCTTGAAGCCCAGCACCGGCTCTGAAGGAGAGAGAAGAGGAGCTCCTTTAGGAAGGCCCTCTGACAGGTGACCAGGAGAGCGCTTCCCTTGGAGATTCTGCAAAGGCATGGAGTCACTCCTAACCAACACACACGACTCCCCAGGGAGTTCTAGGCCTCCGTGGTTCCTGGGCTCTGCTTGTCCTTTACTAACAAGCACCACCTGCACCAGTCTGTGTTGCTCCCCCTCTTTCGGGCCCGCGCCAGCCCCTGCCGCGTGCATGGAGTAGAAGTGGCCACTCACGTTTAATTCCTTTTCGAAGGATCGTTTCCAAGATCTCGCAGAAGGGGGCTAGGTGCGGGGAGGCGTCAGTGCATGGGCTGCTCCCCTCCTTGATGGCTAGGATGCACGCTGTGAGAGAGTGGGAGGCAAGCAGAATGCTGAGGGCACCTGTTCACATCATCCTCTCATGGGATTGGTCTTGATGAGCTGGTATTTTTAACCAGAGCTAGAGCAACAGCTTGTGGAATAACTCTGCAGTCAGTCTGTTACCATCAGGTTGTTCTATTTGGCAGGAAGGTCCATGAACAGACCAAGTTCAAGTCACATGGTCAAACCATTTGCTCAGCCCCCAGAGATATAAGATCAATGTTAAATACCAGGAGAAAAGCAAACTCACTCCTTGCTTCAGGCCTGGCTCATGAGAGGTAACTTGGTCGAGGGAAAGAGCACAGGGCTGGGCATCAGAACGGCCAGAATTCTAATGCCAGCTCTGCTAACAGAGCACTCTGAGACTCTGAGCAAGTCACAACCCCTGCGGCTGAGTTTCCCTACAGAGACAAGCGGGAATAGCACCACTTCACCACCCTGGAGAGGGAGAGGGAGGATTAGACAATATCTATCAAGGGCACTGATGAGGTGAAGCATTCACACATAGTCTTTCCTTTGTAGTAGGCACAAAAGGCCCAAGACTGAAATGTGTCAAGACCCTCAACTCTCCGAAGAAGTGGGCTGTAGTCCACGAAAGCTTATGCTCTAATAAATTTGTTAGTCTCTAAGGTGCCACAAGTACTCCTGTTCTTCTTTCAACTCTCCTTGACGGTCAATGGCTTTTGAGAGCACTTGACATCTGGCAGAACTGAGTACAAAAGCCAGCACCCCCTTCCCTTCTACCCACAAGGAAGGTGGGCATTTCAGCAGCTTGGTTGGAAACTGCAATTGTCCCCTTTCTATCAGCTCACTCACAGCTGATGGTCAGCCCTGTTACCATCTGGAGAGGTGGAGCACAACATACAGAAGAAAACAGCTTAGAACTTGTCTCAGGGAATAGGGGAAGCTCTGATCGCTGCCTGAGACAGGACATGGCTGCCCTGCTGTAGATCGGTTTTACTTTCTCTATTGGGTTCCTGCCACGTTATCACCCTGTTTCTCTAAAGCCAGCAGCACTCTCCTACTTCCTAGTACATCACTAGAAACCAGCTGGAGCCTGACAGCTAGTCTCACTTTTCGACCACAGCCTACACTTCTGCCATAAAGAGCAAGTCAGGAGGACTAAGAACCTCGTCTCCTTACAAACACTGCAGCAGCGATCTCCCAGGTTGAGGCAGAAGGATCTCCTTCCTGCTGCTGTAACGCCTGTCTGCCCCATACTCTCCCAAGTTATTCTTCACGGTCAGTTCCTCAGGCCAGCTTTCAAACTGGTTCTGTGAAGCACGGGGCGCATTGCTGGTGGTGTATAAATAATAACAAGCTAGCGAACAGGGGCAGCAAACCGGGGAGTTTGAGAGGGAGTCGTAATATAATCCCTATGTTTAGCAATGCCAATGCTGCTCCTGTCTCCTCCACCTGCATCCAGACAGGGAACCTAACCTCAGAGGCCTCTACCCAGATCCTGGTGTGGATTTGTAGGAACTGTCGCCTGCATTTCCCACTCACAGAAAGTCAGGCTGTGGAGACGGTCCAGTATGAAAGGTGCCTGCTGGTGAAATCTCAGGAAGCAGGTAGGAGAGCTACAGGAGGAGGTGGCTAGGCTGAGGCACATCCGTGCCCACGAGGAATTCATTGAGTGTATTCATATGGAAACCTCCAAGGCTGGGGAAGCTGTGTCCAGCTAGAGAGGACTTCTGTCATGCCCCTAGGTGAAGAGGATATGGCTCTGTCACAGGGAAGACACTGGCAGCTGGTTACTTCTGATGGCAGGCAATGCTTCACCCCTGCTCCCAACCCACCCACCACAGTGATGAAGAACCATTATGCTGCCCTGGCAAGGAGCGATGAGGAATCGCCCCGAAAGGTGGATTAGGAGAAGCTCTGTACCCCCAAGGCTGGGAGGATCACAGTCACTACCTGACATGGCATCCCAGGAGGTATGTTGTCTGCCAGGGGCCCATATCTGACACATTACGGAGGGACTGCCAAGGATCATCCAGCCCTCTAACAACTACCCCATCTGTGAGCAGATCAGAAGTGACTGCAGGGCTCTGGAAGTGAGGGTCAAGGAGTTGGGGGTGCATGTGGTGGTCTCTTCGATCCTTCCAGTCAAGAGTAGGGGCCCAGGCAGAGACAGATGCATCCTGGGGGTGATGTCTGGCTGTGCAGATGATGTTGACAGGAGGGCGTCAATTTCCTTCACCACAGAATTCTGTTCTCGGAAGAAGGACTGCTGAGCCGAGATGGCATCTCCCTATCAAAGAAGGGGATGTGTATCTTTGGATACAGATTGGCTAACCTAGACAGGAGGACTTTAAACTCAGTTCAATGGGGGCAGGAGACAAAAGCCCACAAGTAAGTTAAAAAAAATGAAAACTGGTCAAAATCTGGGGGGAGCATGGGCCATTATATCAGTGACAAGGGCGAGACAAGAGGGAACATGGGGCAGAAATCAAATCAGTATCTTAGATGTCTATATATCAAAAATGTATATACTTGGACTGAGGTTGAGAGGGAAATAGGAGACAGACTTGTTGAAAGTCTCTAGGTAGGGATAAAAGAGGTAAAAAACAAGGGTGATGTCATGGTAGGGGTCTACTACTGACCACCTAACTAGGAAGAAGAGATAGAGGAGGCTTTTTTAAAACAACTGACAAAACCATCCAAAGCAGGACCGGGTGGTGATGAAGAACTTCAAATACCCAGACATCTGTTGGAAAAATAATATAGCATGGCACAAATTATCCAACAAATTCTTGGAATGCATGGGAGACAATTTTTTTACTTCAGAAGATGGAGAAAGCAACAGGGGATAGGCTGTTCTAGATTTTATTTTGATAAATAAGGAGGAACTGGTAAGAATTTGAAAATGGAAGGCAGCTTGGGTGAATGTGATCATGAAATGACAGAGATCATGATTCTAAGGAACAGTAGGAGGGAAAACAGCACAATAAAGATAATCGATTTCAAGAAGGCAGACTTCAGCAAATTCAGGGAGTTGGTAGGTAAGATCTCATGGGAAGCAAGTCTAAGGGGGAAAACAATTCAAGAAAGTTGGCAGTTTTTCAGAGAGATGTTACTAAGGGCAAAAGAGCAAACTATCCCCCGGTTTAGGAAAGATAGGAAGTATGGCGAGAGACCACCCTGGCTTAACCAGGAGCTCTTCAATGATCTGAAACTCAAAAAAAGAGTCTTACAAAAAGTGGAAACCAGGTCAAATTACAAAGGATGAATATAAACAAATAATTGGTAACACAAGCACGTAGGGACAAAATTAGAAAGGCCAAGGCACAAAACGAGATTAAACTACCTAAAGACAAAGGGTAACAAGAAAACATTCTACAGATACATTAGAAACAAGAGGAAGACCAAGGACATGGTAGGTAGGCCAGTTACTCAATGAGAGAGGAAAGACAACATGGAAATGGCAGAAGTGCTAAGTGACTTTTTTGTTTCAGTTTTCATCAAAAAGTTTAGTAGCAATGGACATCTAACAAAGTGAAGTCTGATGAAAATGAGGCAGGATCTGAGACTAAAATAGGGAAAGAACAAGTAAGGAATTACTTAGACAAATCAGATGTCTTCAAGTCACCAAGGCCTGATGAAATACATCTTAGAATACTCAAGGAGCTGACTGAAGAGATATCTGAGCCATTAGCGATTATCTTCGAAAACTCATGGAAGATGGCAGAGATTCCAGAGGACTAGAAAAGGGCAAATATAGTGCCCATCTATAAAAAGGAAATAAGGACAACCCAGGGAATTACAGATCAGACACCTTAACTTCAGTACCTGGAAAGATAATGGAGCAAATAATCAAGCAATCAATTTGCAAACACCTAGAAGATAAGAAGGTGATAAGTAACAGTCAGCATGGATTTGTCAAGACCAAATCGTGTCAAACCAACCTAATAGTTTTCTCTGACAGGGTAACAAGGCTTGTGTATGGGGGGAAGCAGTAGATGTGGTATATCTTGACTTTAGTATGGCTTTTGATACTGTCTTGCATGACCTTCTCATAAACACACTAGGGAAATACAACCTAGATGGAGCTACTGTAAGTGGGTGCATAACTGGTTGGAAAACTGTTCCCAGTGAGTAATCATCAGTAAGGCTAAGGTTTAGTCATGGGTATTTTTAATAAAAGTCATGGACAGGTCACGGGCAATAAACAAAAATTCACGGCCCAGTGACCTGTCCATGACTTGTACTATATACCCTTGGCTAAATCTGTGGGGTTCTGGGGGACTCCGGAGGCACAGTTGCTGCTCTGGGGTGCCCGCTGGGACTGCAGGTTCCAGGGCACCCACTCGTACTGGGGGAGGGAGGCTCTGGGGCGCATGCTGGGGCGGGGCCTCCGGAGTGCCTGCTGGTGCACTCGCTGGTGCTTGAAGGGGCTCTGAGGCACCTGCTGGTGCTGGGGTGGGAGGGTGGCCCGGGACTGCCGCTGCTGCTGGTGAGAGGCTGCCCAGGACCACCACCGCTGCTGCTGCTGGCGAGGGACGGCCCTTCTGGCCCAGGACCCCCACTGCCGTTGCTGGCGGGGGACAGCCCAGGACCGCCGCAGCCAATGTTGGGGCGGGGGGTGGCCCAGGAGCGCCACCACTGTTGCTGGGGGGGCAGCCAGGGACTGCTGCTGGTGCTGGGGGGGGTGGCGGTGCGCCTGGCCCCGGGGCCACATCTCAGGCAGTCCTGGGGTCAGTCACACCTGCAGAAGTCACAGAGGTCCTGGAAAGTCTCAGAATCCGTGACAGACTCACAGCCTTAGTTATCCGTAGTTCACAGTCAAGCTGGAAGGGTATATTAAGTGGGGTCCCACAGGGATTGGTCCTGGGCCCAGTTCTGTTCAATATCTTCATTAATGATCTAAATAATGGCATAGAGAGTAGACTTATAAAGTTTGTGGACAATACCAAGCTGGGAGGGGTTGCAAGTGCTTTGGAGGATCGGATTCAAATTCAAAATTATCTGGACAAAGAGTCTGAAGTAAAAAGGATGACATTCAATAAGGACAATTGCAAAGTACTCCACTTAGGAAGGAACACTCAATTGCACACATACAAAATGGGAAATGACGGCCTAGGAAGGAGTACTGAAGAAAGGGATCTGGGGGTTACAAGCTAAATATGAGTCAACGGTGTAACACTGTTGCAAAAAAAAAAAAAACGAACATCATTCTGGGATGTATTAGCAGGACTGCTATAAGCAAGACACAAGAATTAATTCTTCTACTCTACTCCGTGCTGATAAGGCCTCAACTGGAGTATTGTGTCTAGTTCTGGGCACCACATTTCAGGAAAGACGTTGATAAATTGGAGAAAGTCCAGAGAAGAGCAACAAAAATGATTAAAGGTTTAGAAAACATGGCCTATGAGGGAAGATTGAAAAAAATTGGGTTTGTTTAGTCTGGAGAAGAGAAGACTGAGAGACGGGACATGATAACAGTTTTCAAGTACATAAAGGGTTGTTACAAAGAGGAGGGAGAAAAATTGTTCTCGTTAACCTCTGAGGACAGGACAAGGAGCAATGGGCTTTAATTGCAGCAAGGGAGGTTTAGGCTGGACATTAGGGAAAACTTCCTAACTGTCAGGGTAGTTAAGCACTGGAACAAACTGTGGAATCTCCATCATTGGAAGTTTTTAAGAACAGGTTAGATAAACATCTGTCAGGGATGGTCTAGTTATCACGTAGTCCTGCCTTGAATGCAGAGGACAAGACTAGATGACCTATCGAGGTCCCTTCCAGTCCTACTCTTCTATGATTCTAAGAATCCTCCTCCCACCCTCTTTGACTTCTTCTGAACAGGCATCTGGAGACACTCCCAATTGCCCAAGAAAGGGAAGTGACTCACAGTGAGAAACCATCTCAGAATTAAACTCTCTGAAACTGAGTCACCTGCCATTATCAGCATACAATAGGCTGGCTTCTGTAAATATTGATTCATCTTTTCTGGGCTGTATGCTCTGCCCTTCAGTCTCATGGGTCTGAGCTCTAGGTGCCCAGGATGTACATTAAAGTAGTGAATCCAGGGTTCCCTCTTCCAACCCACCCCCAAAATAAAGGAAAGGGTGAGGGGACCAGTCACCAGAAGAATATGTGTCCCCAAAAGGGATAAAGGTGTAAGAGCTTATCGGAGATAGCAAAGATAGTACCAAAAATATGCAAGTGAAGGGTTGGCTGGTTTCCAGGGATGGGAACGGCTGGATGTAAAGGAAGAATGCATGGTGGGGTCACCATCCTTTGGAGGAGAAACTGGTCTCTACTTGGAAAGGATGACAACCCAGAATAAAAGTGACTGAGGATTATTACAGCCTGACTGAAGGAGGAGAATGGACTCTCCTTTAGCAGGGTTGTTGATTCCATGGCAGATTCTGTACAGGTGTTTCAGCGGCATTTGCTCATATGGGGACAGCTTTGCAGGTAGCAGCTCGAAACATAAGAGAGTCTAAGGCCCTTGCAGATAGCCAGAGTCTCCCAAGGAATGCACACACAGGTCACAGCATACTATACAGTGAGTAATTACAGGAGGTTTTCCACACTCCCCAGTGTGTTCTAAGGCACAAAGCTGGTGTTCTGGCAGCAGTGTGTGTGTAGAGGAGAAGGGCAGTGAGGTGTGTACCAGGATCTTCCCTTGCTCTCATTTTATTACTTCCTTCCAATACCCTGTACCGGTCAAACCAACCTTCCAGGCTGTAAACAGCTCCCACCAGAGCATGTTAATGCGACCTCTTCATTCAGCCACACGAGGGACGCTCAAGAGCTCTGGGAGAGGTAAACTTCCACCCAAGGCTGACCATGCTGTTTCTCTACTGTTCCCAACTAGGACTGCCACATCCAGAACAATCTCTCTCACCCCGACCCCCCACTGGTTTTCTATAAAACCCCTCACCGTGATGTCTCAGTGCAACATGGCAATGCTTACATCACAAAGCAATGGTGTTAGCTCACTGCATCACCGTGGACCCCAAGATCAATTTCAGGATCTCGTCAGTGTCCCATGATCATTGTTCATAGGACCACCATCCCCACAAAAAAGGCTAGCCGGACCCAGGAAAGCCAGAGCAGGGGATGGGAACCTTACCAGGGAACTGAGCTCAGCACTTACACTCAGACCCTCTGCAAGACATCAGTGCCCCAGGGGAGCCCTCACTTTGCGAAACACGAGGGCAGCCTGACTCTCAAGTCTCCCGCAAGCTCTCTGTCTCTCAGACACCTGCCCAACTCAGAGCAGCATCAGTCACACCCCCTCCTCTCACCCAGTCCCTTGTAAATTCCTCCAACCATGCAGCCACGCCCAGGTGCCTGCATCTCCCCCCTCCTCCAGCCACTCACCTTTCAGGGTCCCCAGCAGCGGCTCTTTCCCAGTCATGCTGCACCCTCCCCAGCCTCCTCCTCAGCCGCAGCCCCACAGACACCTGCAGGGCTCCACCCAGTGGTGACTGTGAGTCCCTTCCGCAAACACAAGGCATACTGGGAGATGCCACTCTCTCTGCAGCAGACGGGGGGAGCAGAGGGGGCAGGGCCCAGTTCAGTACCTTTGCTGGGAGCCCAATACAAGGGTGTGCATTAGAAAAGCTGGAATAATCTCACTGCTCTCCTGGAGGGTGACGAATCATGCTCCCGAGATGGTGGTCTGGGGTGAATGATTAGTAAGCGATAGACGACCCCCCCCCGCCGAGGAAGAGATTTTAGGCTGTTCCAGCAGCTTTGGAATGTTGATACTTATTATCCTGCAACAAGTCAGCGGCTTGATGACGCTGATCAGAGAAACAGACCTGAGGTGGCTGGGTTGCATCCTGACACCTGGGGGGCAAGGAAAACCCAGACCTCATTATCATTACTTATTATTCCTGAACGTGTCTTTTAGTTCCCATTAAACAAACATCATGATCTCCAAATGCAACAACAGCCAATCAACGACATTTCTTCACATTACTGTCTGCACTACAACCATACAATTCAATCGGACTATAATAATTAACAAGTCCAAACTAGGGGTGTTTGCAATGACAAATAGGAGGACTGTGCATCGCACGTTAGCCTCAGGGCTATTAAGGCATGACAGAGTGAGATTTAAAACTAACCTGGTAAGTGAAATTTTAGTATCTCATTGAAACACACATTGTAAAGCCTTTCATCATGAGAATGAAAGGGTTTTTAAATTAATATTTGTGCCTTCAATTTTACTGCTATAATATTGCTTAGAAACTACAAAGATGAGTGCTATCAAAACAACCCCTACATTAGATAGATCCGCAACTCATGTAAGGATTCTCTGGACATTTGCAAACTGAAAGAAAGCTCACCTGAATGACACATTGCTCTTACAGGTTACAGATAAAAACAACAAGGAGTCCTTGTGGCACCTTAGAGACTAACAAATCTATTTGGGCATAAGCTTTCGTGGGCTAGAACCCACTTCATCAGAAGTAGAAATGGGGTCTAGCCCTCGAAAGCTTATGCCCAAATAAATGTTAGTCTCTAAGGTGCCACAAGTACTCCTCATTGTTTTTGCCGATACAGACTAACACGGCTACCCCTCTGAAACACATTACAGATAGGAAATGTTGCTGGTAGCCCTGCAAGCTCATAATGCCACATACAATTAATCATCATTAATAATTAATACATTTTATTTCATATAGCATCTTTCATGCAATGCATCCCAAAACCTTATACCTTTTTTTTAACTTTTCCAGGCCTCAGTCCCCTCATCCATAAAATGACCTGGCTTCTTAAAAGAGTTGCTCAGAGGCTGTTAGTTAATATGCCATGCTTCCTTCCAGTGGAATAAAGGTGGGATGGTCGCACATGAACCCAAACCCTGTGATTTAGAACTTGCACGTATTAAAGGCAGATCTTTCTAGCAGGCGGAGAGGCTGACATCACTGTGATAAATGCAGTAAAGATGGATGGATAAAGAGCTTGAGCCAGCAGGGATAGGGAAGGCCGTATGGCTAACAGAGATGCTCTCCCTCCCCCCCCAAAATTATTTTGTCACTTGCAAAAAATGTTTAACAAAAATGGGAAAAAAACATTTTTTCTTCTATTTTTTGGTTTCCATTGAAAACCCAAACTAACAAAACTGATTTTTTAATATTCTGTGTATTTATCTATTGCAACTGACAACCACTTTTTTTGGCGGGGGGGGTTGCTGAAAACTGAAAAATGTTTGGGGTTTCAGTTTTTCAAAGAAAATCAACATGGCTGTGATGGAAATGAGCAACAGAGGGTCCTGTGGCACCTTTGAGACTAACAGAAGTATTGGAAGCATAAGCTTTCGTGGGTAAGAACCTCACTTCTTCAGATGCCAGTGCATATTAAACTCTTGCATCTGGAAAAGAGAG